TTATACTCCTCCGGTTATTCCGTCACACCTTACCGTTCTAGCAACAAGCCAATAGGATTGGAGTGATTTCATTCACGTTCAGACCTGCTTCGCCTAGAGGCGTTCCCATAGTGTCGTAACCGACGCAGTTCGAGTTCCCTCGAAGGGGAACCTACTTGGCAAAAAACCTGACTGTGATTCTTGTTCTCCTCCGTCAGACTCCTCTCTGTCTGTGCTCAGACTCTGCTGCCATCTAGTGGTCTTCTGTCCATACTGCGTCTCTACTGGTCTGATGCTGTCCATCTGCTGCAGCAGGAAGACAGGAAACAAACCAGCCGTCTCCATGGAGATGACCCAGCGGGTTGGAGGAAGTGATAAATTGGATGGCGAGTGTGATGACATCACTGCTGATGTCACCACTGAGCACGCCTTCTGAGCTGTGAACAGAGTGACAGCAGCTGTCTTTAACATGGACTCTGATCAATAACATGATGGATCTGAAGATGAGAGTTTCTATCATCTGCTCTTATGGAGATGCTGCTGGAGAGCATTGTCTTACACGTTGCTCCAGAATCTTCCACAGGTGTGAAACCGGGTTGAGATCTGGTGACTGTAAAGGCCGCAGCATTTTATTCACATCATTTTCATCCTCACCAAAGCGTTCAGTGACCCTGCTGCACGAAGCATCTGCATCTGATGTTCCTCCTCTCTTTGATTCAGCTTCTTCCTTTCATTTGTATGTTTTTAAGCTTTGCTAAATAAAACCAGGTAGATCATTTTGATCTGTTGAAAGGTTGATGATTCTCTGGACCTGATCCTTTCATCCCCTCATCCAAGACTTCCTTCACAACATTTCAGTAAGGCCCCTTGTTTTCTAACAAGTGTCTAAAATGTCAGGAATGCTAATCTCTGTTCCTCAAGAGAGGGAGCAGCTGTAGAGGTGTTAGGACAGGAACCTGAGGCAGAGGAGAAGCCTAGTGCGAGGGGGAAGCCCTCTTCTGTCCTCTGCTTCTCTGTCAGATAATCATATTCTCTTATTTGACAAATATGCAACATTCACTGCCACTAAATGTCGCACTAGAGCAGCAGCATCTCAGACCAGAACAGATGGGCGCTACGGCTCCGAGGTCTGGGATCAGATCTACAAGTGTCTGAAGAGATGCATGATGAACGTCAACAATGACAACGAGCTGACGAGCGACATCAAACGGATCGAGCTACAGCTGAAGAACTCCACGGTGAGGGACGGCACATGTCGTCTCAGGCTCTGAAGGCCTGGGTGAACGGGGCGGCCTTCCACATCCAGATGCTGATCCACCTGGTGAGACTCAGAGGGATTAAATCCTGAGACCCTGTACAGAGACTCCTCTCTGCTTACCTGAGAGACCTGGACCTGCTGTTCAACAAGCACAGAGAGGTGATAGAAGGAAAGTGCAGGATGAGATGGAGGATATCTCCTACTCTACAACAAGTTACAGAATGTGCCTGCGTATTCTGCAGAAAGTAGTAAACAGAACTACTACATGTCCGTGGAGTCCGCAGCTGGTCATGTAGTATTCGTCTGCTTAGACCTTCAGGGAGGAAACAGAGAGGTAGTGTGTGTGCCATGAGGATGATGATGATGATTATAACACTATCATAAAGTGAGACAGTCAGCTAGTGCTGACTTTTTAGCTGTCTTGCAAGCGCAGACATTATCATTAACACTACTATAAATATCTGTGCCATTTTTCATTTAGTCTATAGCAACATCACCTTACATTGTCTGTACCTCTGTGTGGATATTGTGTAGGCTGCCTCCCCCCTGTTCCTCTCCCTCTCACTCTCTCTCTCTCTCTCCCTCTCTCTCTCTCTCCTTCACCCCAACCGGTCGAGGCAGATGGCCGCCCACCCTGAGTCATGGTTCTGCTCGAGGTTTCTGCCTCTTAAAGGAAGTTTTTCCTTGCCTCTGTCTCCTAGTGCTTGCTCTTGGTGGGAACTGTTGGGCTTCTGTAAATAGCATCATAGAGTACGGTCTAGACCTGTTCTTTTATGAAAAGCGCTGTGAGATAACTGTTGTTGTGATTTGGCACTATATAAATAAAATTGAATTGAATTACAAAGACCACAGTACTAAAAGCGGAACAGCTAATACCCAGTTGCTCTGCACAAGCAGCAGAGCTAATAGTACTAACTGAGGCATGTAAACTAATGAAAGGAAAGACGGCCACTATATACACAGACAGCCAGTATGCATATGCTACTGTGCATGTGTTTGCCCAGTACTGGAAAAATCGAGGCATGATAACCTCTACAGGGAAGCCGGTAACACATGCCAAAATTCTGACTGAACTGCTTGATGCCGTACAGCTCCCAAAGACAGCAGCCATCTGCAAATGTGCAGCACATACATCTGGAACGGATGAGGTGTCTGTAGGAAACGCTTTTGCAGACAGAATGGCTAAAGCAGCAGCTACAGCGAAGCACAATGTTCTTGCAGTAATAGAACACGACGTATTAGACCATTTGATTCTTAAAGACATGCAACAACAAAGTCCCCAGACTGAAAAGACGTCTGGTTACGTCATGGCACAGTTGAAAGGTGACCTCTATGTCTGAACAGCTAATAAACCCGTACTTCCTAAGAACTTATACAAATGGGCGGCGATATTGAGCCATGGAGTAACTCATGTCTCAACAGGAGGGATGGTAACTCAAGTACAACAATACTACACTACGTTTGGTTTCAATACCTTTTCAAAAAATTTCTGTAGAGCATGCCTGACCTGCGCTAAATATAACCCACAAGGTAATTTACGCCCAAAGAGAGGTCGGTTTCCTGAACCCCAATATCTGTTCCAAATAATACATATGGACTTCATAGAGCTGAGCAAGAGCGAAGGTAAAAAGTACTGTCTAGTGATAATAGACGCCTTCTCCAAATGGATAGAACTGTTTCCCACCCAACATCCTGATGCACTAACAGTTGTGAAAGCATTATGCAAAGATATCATTCCAAGATATGGTATCCCAGAAAGAATCTATAGTGATAATGGAACACACTTTGTCAATCAATTAATCAAAAAAATAGGAACAATGTTCCACATGAAGTTAAAACACCATTGCGCGTACCATCCACAAAGTGCAGGGCTGGAAGAGCGCATGAATGGCACTATAAAAAATAGATTGAAAAAGTGCATGGAAGAAACAAGAAGACCATGGACTAAATGCTTGGATCTTGTGAAAATGTATATAAATATCACGAGCACAACGAGACTCTCTTCGGGCGACCATATAGACTACCACAGTTTAAAAATCAATGGGCGACAGATGAGGAGTCATGTCTGGCTGATTGTATAGAGAAAAACAACAACAAAAGAATGTTAATGGTGTATCTTCTGTCTCCCACCAGGCACTTGAATTAGTAGAGCCAGGTGATTGGGTATTAGTAAGAAGAAGAAGTATAAGAACTATAAAGAAGAAGCACTGGCACTCGCCAAAGTGGGAAGGACCTTTTCAGGTACTGTTGACCACCCCCACAGCAATTAAAATAGCTGAGAGGTCTACCTGGATTCACCTCACTCACTGTAAAAAGGTAATTTCTGCTGTTACAAGCTCCAACAAGGAAGGCAAGCCAAAGTCTGATAATAGGGTGGATTCAGGCGTTTAGAACCTGGATAGGCCCGAAAGTCAGTGAAGAAAACCACGGGCTGCCAACCTTAGTAGGTGAGCAAAGCGGGAGGAATGGCCCATAAGGCGTGGGTGGTAATGCTGCTGACTTACCTGGGGGTTTGGCCTCTACCTGTATCAGAGACAGGGTTTTGCCAAAAGAACAATCATTACACACATGGACTACAAGTGTGCATTCCAACCAATACCAGCGTGTCAGTTGTGATCCCCTTTTCTAGTCTCACTAGTAAGGGCATAAAAGGCAGTGAGTACACCACCTATACGTGGTATATGACAAATGATCAGAAAGACACGTCATGGTGACCTCAGCCCTAACATCGCTAACAGTTCTTGTTGTGGTTCTGACCTTATGCGGATGTTGTTTTATCCCCTGTTTGCGGACATTGTTGCATCAACTCAACCTGTTGAACACAGAATGTCTCAGTTGTATCCACTCTTAGGTGATATGGATCACTGATGAGGGTAATAATCCAATAGAGCAAGTGCCTGATCTATTCCCTGATCCTGGAGATTATGAGCGTCTCCTTTGTATAAAATACAACATAACTCTGAGTGTAAACATATTTGGGCTCATAAAAATTATCTTGCAGTCAAAAATCTTGAAACGAAGTGACTGAGCTTAAGTGAAATGAGAATGTGAGCAAATATGTGATAAACAGGAGGGAAATGTTGGAACCAGTATGTATATAAGTTATCTCATATTTACTCTCGGCAATGCAATCTGAAACAATATGGATATATATATATATATCAAGACGTGTACTAATGCAAGTGTGTAAGTCTGTCTGCAGAAATGTACTGACAGGAAGTCTACAGCGGATGGTGTGACTGAAGGAAATGACACACGGAGCAGACAACAACAACAACAACAACAAAATAACAGCAACCGAGTCCTGGCCCTGAGGAGCGACTGAGCTTAACGTACATAGTTCCAGGAACAGTACTGTACAATAATGTATGTCACGTTGATCACGTTTCATGTTGCTGCTGCACCCCCTTTCCCCTTAGAGCAGCAACATGCATGTAACTAGCGAACTGAATATAATAAAAAGAGAGTGCATCTCTGAGTGCATCTCTGTCCGTTCTCCTCGCGAGTAAAAAGGCACTAACTCTCTTGTCTTTCTTCCTTGTCTGATATTATAGGTGTCTGCACCTGACAACTTCCTGTTGAGGAGGATTTTCAGCTTCCTACACAACACTGCATCTCATTAAAGCAGGAAGCCCCGCCCTCACTGTCAAGCACCAATCATGAGCAGCAGGGTGACATGCAGCGCTGACTGTGTTAAAAAGGAAGTGAAGCTGAAGGCGTCACTCTGCTGTTCAGACTGACTGACAGTCGACATCCAGACAACATGAAGGCTTCATCTGTGTCTCTGCTGCTCGGTGAGTCCAACACATCCATCCATCCATCCATCCATCCATCCATCCATCCATTCATCCATCCATCCATCCATCCATCCATCCATCCATCCATCACAGCTCCAACACACTTCAGAGTCTGCACTCATACAGAGGAAAAGATGATGAAACCATTGGAATGTTTTACTATTTAATAGAAGTGATAGAAAAGGCTTTTTGCTAAAATCAGCCTTGTATCATCAGGCCCTAAATGTTCAAGTTCAAGTCCTTTATTGTATGTATTGTATTTATATATATATATATATGTGTGTATATATATAAACACCAAAACATGTAGAAACCAGTAGTACAGATGGTATAATGATATGGTTGGATAAGGTGTGAGCAAAGTGACAGTAATGAGCTTAGTGGTTCATTATTCTTGTCTGAGGGACGAAGCCGTCCCTGAGCCTGACCAGTTTGGGTCGGGGTGGTTGGGGTCTCTGGTTGGCCTTCTTCTTGAACCGCTGGGTGTAGAGGTCCTCCATGGATGGCGGCTCCGTCCTGGTGATTTGCTGAGCAGTTTTCACCACCCTCTGTAAAGCCTTGTGGTCGAGGGCAGCTGCCTTAGACAGTTTGTAGCTGTGGTCAGAGACATTTTCAGCACCACTGAACGGAACTGTCCTTTCACACAGGAAAGCTCAGCTGAGACATTCTGATCTTATCTGGGTTTCATGTGTCACTTGCTCTCTGACTGTGACATTTCCATGGTTATTAAATTCGACACACATACTTCTTTTTTGAGTAAAATAAGCAGAAATGGTCTGTTATTTTAGATTACTGACTGTCTTGCTTTAATGTCAAATATTTGCCAGGATATTCCCAAGATGCCAGTTGCCATCTTAAAGGACTGTCCTACTCCTTGAGGTCCCTTCCGTCAGAGCCCAGGGACCATATTTAAAACTGTATTTACAGCCACGCCCCAGCACAAGGGAGAACAGCAGGAGATCCAGGGCCCCTCAGCCCAGCCAGAGCTAATCCTAAAGATTCTAAGATTCTAAACTAGACTTCAGGTCGGGATGGTGCTGAGCTGCCTTTGTGGTGTGTGGTGGCCTGTTTGTTAGGGGCTTTAGGCCCCCAGGTCTGACATGGGATCTGTTGTCGCCTCTCCTTGCGGGGGCCCTCTTTGGCGTGGGTGGTGTTCCCGCCACTGTCCCCTGCTGGCTCTCTCACGAGGGGGGCATGCGGTTCTTCCAGTGTGCGTGGTTGGTGCTGTCGCAACGTGGGTCTTGGCCCGCTCCCTTGGGGGTAGCTATCCGGGGGGGCTGGGCCCTCGTCTGGGTTCGGGGCAGGCCTTGGGTTCGTTGGGCATGCAAATCGACTCTAACAGTGGCTGCTGTCAGATACAGGATCTACAGATGCTACAGCAGTTACTGATAGCTACCGTTAGCTACAGCAGCAGAAGTCTTCAATCAACTGGGCCGCGTGAAGCCCCTGGAAAATGTAACAAAACATTTTCAAATGGAAAAGGTGGTGCCTTGAACACCCTGTTGTGTACTCAAACGCACTGCCTTTTAATTCAGTGTTATAAATTGTCGCTGCTGATTGGGAAACACCTCTGACACACTCAACAAACAAAAGAGTAAACATACTTCATACCCATACTGAGCAGCTCCTCTGCTTGTGCTGAAAAGGCCAAAGTTAGCAGGTACAGGAAGTGTCGAGGGCAGTGCGTACAAGAGCCAGGTTGAGTCGAGTCGAGTCTAAAGGTTTGTAGTAGTATATGGTCTCAGCAGCGAGTGCATACAGCTAGGGAAGCCCAGAGTATCAGTTCAACGTGCCCAGATAACCTCCAATGGACGGCCCCAGGAGGATCCTGATCAGATACCCAGACCAACTCATCTGGCTCCTTTCGGCTCCACCTCATATTTCTAAGGCTGATCCCAACCACCTTATGGAGGAAACTCGTTTTGGCCACTTGTATCCGCGATCTCATTCTTTCAGTCGCAACATAGAGCTTTTGACCATAGGTGAGGCTTGGAACGCAAAACGACTAGTGAATCGAAAGCTTTGTCTTCCGACTCAGCTCGCTCTTCCCCACAATGGTCTGCCTTACTGCTGACGCTACATCAATCTGCTTCCTTCTCCATTTAGCTATCACTCGTGAACAAGATCCCAAGATACTTAAACTCCTTCACTAAGGGCAGCAATTCACTCCCAACCCAGAGGGAGCAATCCATCATTTTCAAGCAGACAACCGTGGCCTCGAATTGAGAGTCGGTTGACACTCGACTGCAAAGAGCCCCAGCGTGTGCTGCCAAGAAAACGGACACAGCTCTCACTTTGGTAATACGAGGGCCGGATAGCAGTTCTCCCCGGCTGAGCACACCCTGAGCCAAGCAATAAACTCTCTTCCTCAGTTGACAAATGGTTTGCCTGATCTTCCTTGAGGCCAACCAAAAGTCCTTCAGTGGACGGCTCTGCCCCTCTTTTTGTCTTTGGTCTAGGATGTTCTGGTACCGTATAGGAAAGCTCAGCTAAAGCAACACGGATACAATTCTGATCTTATCTGGGTTTCATGTGATTCAACTGTCATTGACATTTCCATGGTTACTATTGGTGACACCAAACCTGACAAAGACTCAGAAAGACATTGACATCACTCATAGAATCAAACTTCATCTTCTGATTTTGGCTTCAGGGAGATGTGAAATTCCAAATTTGAAAAATTAAAACTTAGTTTCCAGACATTTGATGGAATAACTTAAAAGTTTCTGTAGCTCATTTCATTGGCCACTTTAGTGACCTTTAACCCTCAGTGACCTCTGACCTTCAGTGACCCCTGACCTTCAGTGACCCCTGACCTTCAGTGACCTCTAACCTTCAGTGACCTCTGACCTTCAGTGACTTCTGACCTTCAGTGACCCCTGACCTTCAGTGACCCCTGACCTTCAGTGACCCCTGTCTTCCTGTTGCAGGTGTGTCTGTGCTGCTGCTGTCTGGACTGACTGATTCTGCAGGTGAGCTGATGGAAGAGAAAACCAGCACTGTCTGTCTAATCACATGTCTATGTGATCATCTGTATCTGTACCCCTCTCTGTCTGCCCTACAGTCTCTCTGGATGTCCGTCCAAACCGTCCTCAGTTCTTCACAGAAGAGTCGGTCTCTCTGAGTTGTGTTGAAGATGGACAAACAGTTGATGGATGGACGGTGAAGAGGAGAGCAGGGGGACACAATGAGAACTTTGGGAGGTTTGATGGTTCCTCCTGTATCGTCTCAAATCTCTCCCAATCAGACACTGGAGTTTACTGGTGTGAAACCAGTTCTGGACAGACGAGTGACCAGATCAACATCACTGTGACTCATACAAAAAGCAAGTTGATCCATCCTGTGTTCATGTCTGTATAGGATTCTGTTCTGAGAGGTCTAACTCTGTTTTCTTCTTCTTCAGATTCTCAGGTTATTCTGGAGATTTATGCACTTCCTGTGATGGAAGGAAGTGATGTCACTCTGCGTTGTAGAACCAAAGACAAGGTCACAAATAAAGCCTTTTTCATCAGGGATGGTTCTAACATTGGATCTGGACCTGAAGGACAGTTTACCATCAGGAACATCCAACGGTCTGATGAAGGTCTCTACTGGTGTTATTTTGATCAGTCTGCTGAATCTCCTCGGAGATGGCTGAGTGTCAGAGGTCAGGACACTGACATCACTTCCTGTTTACATGATATGAACTAACCTGCTGACCTGATTATAAACTGATCACTGCATTGATCCAGGTTCTACTGATTTTCCTTCCAGCATCTCCTCTCTTTTCTCTCTTCTTCCGATTAAGAATAACTGTGGGTTCTCTGGTTCTTCTGGTTCTTCTGGTTCTGGTCCTGGTCGGAGTTCTGTTGCTCCGCAGGAATCAAACAGGTATGAAAGCTGTCAGACTCACCTGATGTGAACAGACTGGAACCAGACTGTGTCTGATCCAGTCAGCAGGTCTGTACTGAACTACAACCTGGGACTGGTTGGACTCCTGTCCAATCAGTGACGTCCTCAGGACACCTGGGACCCGTCTGTCACACAGCTCCGTGAGAAATGCTCTCTGATCTCCATTTCCAATAACCTGACTGATCTGTGTTTGTTTCCTGCTGATCCAGATGCTGTCAGATCTGCTCAAAGGAAACACACTGCAGGTACACACACACCTGTTCTACACCTGAGCAGTGATGGTGAAGCATGAGTGAAGCAGCTGCTGCTTGATGTCTGAACTGAAACTCTGCTTCATCAACTGGACTTTTAATTTCCACTGGTGTTCAGTTTCAGGATGGAAATGTTCTCCTTACTTTAAACCTTCCTGACTTTGATTCTCTTACAAGTTTCTTTTCTCTACAGAGAGTTTGTTGATTTAGAGGCGGACAATATAATCTTAACTCAGTGCCCACTTAGAGCTTTTCCAGAGCTTTCAGCCACATCTCATGGTCTTCATCAGCTCATGGCGTTTGCTTGGTAGTTCTGGAGATGCTTCAGGTGTGGTCATGTGAGGTACAGACCCTCAGTCCCATGGTAACAGCTGCTTGTATATGGGGGGAGATGTGATGTACCTGTAGGTCACATGATGACCCCTGAGCCAACTCCATTTACTGATGAACACCATGAGATGCTGCTGAAAGCTCAGTTAGATATTTTCCACTAACTGTTTATATATTTGAATACAAAGTTAACCTGCTGACCTCTGACCTTTAGTAAACCTTGTTCTCCTGTTGTAGGTCTGCCTTTGCTGACTGCTGCAGGTGAGTTGATGGAAGTCTGTCTGTCTGTCTGTCTGTCTGTTGACCTCTGACCTTTAGTGACCTCTGTCTACCTGTTGCAGGTGCGGCTGTGTTGCTGAGTGGACTGCTTGTTTCTGCAGGTGAGCTGATGAAAGTTTATTATTTATAAAAAAATACAGAAGAAGTTTACATTTATCAAAGCGACTTAGATGCTACATATGTCAGAGGTCACACGCCTCTGGAGCAACTATTCAATTCATCCAAGGTCAACTGCTTATCCTGCGTACAAGGTCGCAGGGGGGTACAGTCTGGACAGGTCACCAGTCCATTGCAGAGCCACACATAGACAAACAACCACTCACGCCTAAGGACAATTTTAGAGACTCCAATTAACCTAGCCTGCTTGTCTTTGGATGGTGGGAAGAAGCTGGAGCACCTGAAGAGAACTCATGTGGACACGGGAAGAACATGCAAACTCCACACAGAAAGGCCAGGGCAACTGGGGATTGAACTCACGACCTTCTTCGCTATGAGAAGACAGTGCTAACCACTGTACCACGCGTGGCCCTCCCTAAAGTGTGAAATCGCAACAACAGTTATCTCAGAGCACGTTTTCCAAAAAGAGCAGGTCTAGACCGTACTCTGTGATGTTATTTACAGAAACCCAACAGTTCCCACCAAGAGCAGCACTAGGCGACAGAGGCAAGGAAAAACTTCCTTTTAAGAGGCAGAAACCTCGAGCAGAACCATGGCTCAGGGTGGGCGGCCATCTGCCTCCACCGGTTGGGGTGAAGAAGAGAGAGAGAGAGAGAGAGAGAGAGAGAGAGAGAGAGAAAAATGGATGGGGATGGAAGGAGAGAGGGAGGGGAGGGAGGCAGCCTACACAATATACACACAGAGGTACAGACAGTAAAGGTGATGTTGCTATAGACTAAATGAAAAATGGTACAGATATTTATAGTAGTGTTAATGATAACAATTGTAATGTTAATTATTATAATAACAATAATAACAATAAGACTAGTAACAATAGTCGTTGCAGCAGAGGGTGTCGAGCAGGAACACGGGGGCAGCAGGTGACCCGCAACCACAGATCCAGACTCCACAGCTCCAGAGCCAGAAAACCTGCAGGAAGTGACAGGAGGAGAGAGGAGAGGGACAAGAAAGCACAAGACTACTGGAAAGGGGAGAAGTTGTGTTAGTAACATGCAATAATGGGATGAGGTTGCATACAGAGAGAGAGAAAGTAGAGGAGAGAGGAGCTCAGTGCATCATGGGAAATCCCCCGGCAGTCTAGGCCTATAGCAGCATAACTAAGGGATGGTTCAGGACTCACCTGAGCCAGCCCTAACTATAAGCTTTATCAAAGAGGAAAGTCTTAAGCCTACTCTTAAATGTGGAGATGTTGTCTGCCTCCTGAACCCAAACTGGAACCTGGTTCCACAGGAGAGGAGCTTGATAGCTGAACGCTCTGGATCCCAGTCTCTTTTGGAGACTCTAGGAACCACAAGTAACTCTGCATTCTGGGAGCGCAGTGCTCTGGTGGGGTAGTAAGGTACTATGAGCTCTTTAAGATAAGATGGTGTCTGACCATTAAGAGCTTTGTAGGTAAGAAGAATGATTTTAAATTCTATTCTGTATTTTACTGGAAGCCAATGCAAAGAAGCTAAGACAGGAGAAATATGATCTCTTTTCCTGGTTCCTGTCAGAACACGTGCTGCAGCATTCTGGATCAGCTGAAGAGTCTTAACGGACTTTTTTGAGCAGCCTGATAATAAGGAATTGCAGTAATCCAGCCTAGAAGTAACAAATGCATGGACTAGTTTTTCTGCATCATATTCCTGATTTTCACAATATTAGGAAGGTGAAAAAAGGCGGCCCTTGAAATTTGCTTAATGTGAGACTTAAACGACATGTCCTGATCAAAGATCACTTCAAGATTCCTCACAGTGGTGCTGGAGGCCATGGCGATGCCATCCAGGGAAACTATATCTTTAGATAATGCATCACGGAGGTGCTTAGGCCCCAGAACAATAACTTCAGTTTTATCTGAGTTTAACATTAGAAAATTACAGGTCATCCAGATTATAACATCCTGAAGGCACATTTGATATTTCATCTGGTTTGATCGATAGATATAACTGAGTATCATCTGCATAACAATGAAAGCTTATGGAATATTTCCTGATAATATTGCCTAAAGGAAGCATATATAAAGTGAAGAGGATTGGTCCGAGGACAGATCCTTGAGGAACTCCATGACTAACTTTGGCGCGCATGGAGGACTCATCGTTAACATGTACAAACTGAAATTGATCTGATGAATAAGACTTCAACCAGCTTAGAGCGGTTCCTTTAATGCCAATGAAATGTTCCAGTCTCTGCAATAGGATCTGAGGGTCAATGGTATCAAATGTAGCACTAAGATCTAATAAAACCAGTACAGAGACAAGTCCTTTGTCTGATGCAATAAGGAGGTCGTTAGTAATTTTCACCAGTGCTGTCTCTGTGCTATGATGAGCTCTAAATCCTGACTGAAAATCCTCAAATAAACTATTGCTCTGTAGAAAGTCACACAGCTGTTTAGCAACTGCTTTCTCCAGAACCTTAGAGAGAAATGGAAGGTTAGATATAGGTCTATAGTTGGCTAAAACATCTGGATCAAGTTTGGGCTTTTTCAGAAGAGGTTTAATTACAGCTACTTTAAAGTACTGTGGTACATAGCCTGTTGATAAAGATAGATTGATCATATCTAGCATAGAAGTTCTGACTAAGGGTAAAACATCTTTAAGCAACCTAGTCGGGATGGGGTCTAAGAGGCAGGTTGATGGTTTAGATGAAGAAATTACTGAAGTTAGTTGGTAAAGATTGAGAGAAGCAAAACAGTCAAAACATTTCCTCTCAAGTTTCCGCGATATTTGCTTTAATTTGCGAGTTTCAGTATTATACCATGGAGCTAACCGTCTTTGTTTTAGTATTTTCTTTTTTAGACGGGCTACAGAGTCGAGTGTCATTCCCCTACAATAATAACTTTGTCCGTTTTAAGGACTAAAGTTGACAAAAACTCTGCAAATTCAGATAAGAATTCAGAATACGGGCCAGGTGCTCGGTACACTATAACCAAGAGAATTGGTTGCAGTGATTTCCAACTTGGGTGCGAAAGACTAAGAACAAGACTTTCAAATGAGTTATAGTTTAGTTTAGGTTTAGAGCTGATTAGTAGGCTAGAGTGGATGATAGCTGCAACTCCACCTCCTCGGCCTGTGCCTCGAGGAATGTGAGTATTAATATGACTGGGAGGGGTGGATTCATTTAGGCTAACATATTCTCCATCGCCCAGCCAGGTTTCAGTAAGACAAAATAAATCAATATCATAATCTGATATTAGTTCATTTACTAGTTCACCTTTAGAAGAGAGAGATCTGATGTTTAAGAGTCCACATGAGGTTTTTATGCACAGCTCCTCTTCTGTTTACCTTTGATTTAAATCATTTCAATGGTGGGGGGGACAGACACCGTCACTATAGGATTTTCACTAAGTGTCTTGCTCAGGGACACATTGTGTCACAGTGAGGAATTGAACCCAAGTCTCTCACACCAAAGGCATGCATCTTACCCACTGTCCCATCACCACCCACAAGTTGAACAGCAGCAGAATAAATCAGTGAACACAGGTGGAGAGTCCAGGAGGAGAAAGAAAGAAATAGGAGGATTTCATCAACAGCTTGTGTTGACTATAGAAATACAAACATGAACCATAATGATATCAAGATAAGATCAACTGAGACAAACAATAAATATTAAGTATCTTACTGAAAGTCAGATTAGGATCATGAGACCACAATGAATGACATTTGGTTCTACATTTGTTTGTTGATCCTTCTGTGTGAAATGAACAGAAAATGAAGGTATAAATCAGTCTTGATGAAGTGATTCCACCAAACTGTCCAGACCCCCCTTCTTGTTAGAAACATGAGTTGTCCTCCTCAATATATCATTGTAAACACAGCTATGTAAATCTTTAACTTTCTATTCTATAATTATGATTCTTGACTTTTACAGTCCTTGTTTTTTATTTTCTCTCACTGTGTTTATTGTTCTGCACCAAAAAGACAAATTCCTTGGATGTTGAAAACCTACTTGGCAACAAACCTGACTGTGATTCTTGTTCTCCTCCGTCAGACTCCTCTCTGTCTGTGCTCAGACTCTGCTGCCATCTAGTGGTCTTCTGTCCATACTGCGTCTCTACTGGTCTGATGCTGTCCATCTGCTGCAGCAGGAAGACAGGAAACAAACCAGCCGTCTCCATGGAGATGACCCAGCGGGTTGGAGGAAGTGACGAATTGGATGGCGATTATGAAGACATCACCGCTGATGTCACCACTGAGCACGCCTTCTGAGCTGTGAACAGAGTGACAGCAGCTGTCTTTAACATGGACTCTGATCAATAACATGATGGATCTGAAGATGAGAGTTTCTATCATCTGCTCTTATGGAGATGCTGCTGGAGAGCATTGTCTTACACGTTGCTCCAGAATCTTCCACAGGTGTGAAACCGGGTTGAGATCTGGTGACTGTAAAGGCCGCAGCATTTTATTCACATCATTTTCATCCTCACCAAAGCGTTCAGTGACCCTGCTGCACGAAGCATCTGCATCTGATGTTCCTCCTCTCTTTGATTCAGCTTCTTCCTTTCATTTGTCCCCGTCTGTTTGTTGTAGAAGCCCTGCTTTTTGGTAGATTTGCTAAAACCCCCTCAGCTCCATTGTAGAAAAGGAGGAGGAGTTCTGAGGGAAGTCAGATCTTTGAAGACCTTTTGGACCTTCTAGGTCTTTCAGAGCTCTTTTCCTTTTTGCTCAGACCTTTTGTCAGCTTTTACATTTCTGCAGCCTTTTCAGACTCAGGAATTCTGTTTGGTTTCTTTCTTTTTATTCTCTTCTATCTCAAAGTGTTTCTGGACGTAGGCTTTGTATGTTTTTAAGCTTTGCTAAATAAAACCAGGTAGATCATTTTGATCTATTGAAAGGTTGATGATTCTCTGGACCTGATCCTTTCATCCCCTCATCCAAGGCTTCCTTCACAACATTTCAGTAAGGCCCCTTGTTTTCTAACAAGTCTCTAAAATGTCAGGAATGCTAATCTCTGTTCCTCAAGAGAGGGAGCAGCTGTAGAGGTGTTAGGACAGGAACCTGAGGCAGAGGAGAAGCCTAGTGCGAGGGGGAAGCCCTCTTCTGTCCTCTGCTTCTCTGTCAGATAATCATATTCTCTTATTTGACAAATATGCAACATTCACTGCCACTAAATGTCGCACTAGAGCAGCAGCATCTCAGACCAGAACAGATGGGCGCTACGGCTCCGAGGTCTGGGATCAGATCTACGAGTGTCTGAAGAGATGCATGATGAACGTCAACAATGACAACGAGCTGACGAGCGACATCAAACGGATCGAGCTACAGCTGAAGAACTCCACGGTGAGGGACGGCACATGTCGTCTCAGGCTCTGAAGGCCTGGGTGAACGGGGCGGCCTTCAACATCCAGATGCTGATTCACCTGGTGAGACTCAGAGGGATTAAATCCTGAGACCCTGTACAGAGACTCCTCAGAGAGAAGTATCAAATACATTCCATCAAACTCATTTTTGACAGCTATTTCCGGTCCCACCACCCCCACCGGATGTCTGTATGTAACTGATAAGAGGGGGTGCATCTTGTCCCGCCCCAACCGGAAATATGGCTGTATGTAACTGATAAGAGGGGGTGCATCCTGTCCCGCCCCAACCGGAAATATGTCTGTATGTAACTGATAAGAGGGGGTTCATCCTGTCCCGCCCCAACCGGAAATATGGCTGTATGTAACTGATAAGAGGGGGTGCATCCTGTCCCGCCCCAACCGGAAATATGTCTGTATGTAACTGATAAGAGGGGGTTCATCCTGTCCCGCCCCAACCGGAAATATGGCTGTATGTAACTGATAAGAGGGGGTGCATCCTGTCCCGCCCCAACCGGAAATATGTCTGTATGTAACTGATAAGAGGGTTGCGTACATCCTTCCATTGTGTGTTTTTCATTGATTTAAAGACTTTATTAAGTAATACAACTTGAATGAATTAACTAGGAGGTGTTTGTGACAATAAATTTATCATTAAAAAAGTATAGCAGTGAGTTATAAGTAAAAGGAGGAATCTCCGGGGCCAGCAAAGGATCAGTAGGAGGTTTCTTTGGAATCAAGTCAGTCTTTATTATTATTAAACAAGTGAAGAATAAATTGAAATAATGACAGCAAAGCAGTAAAATGGTATAACGGTGAGTAAAAATTACCTTCAACAGCATGCAGCAAAATAAGAGTGAGTTCCAAAATTAAACTTTGTAAAATCTTTGCTAAAGCTTTGTGTGACAAACTTACCATCATTTAAGAACTAAAGAATAAGATGAAATAATTACAGTAAAATAGTATAACAGTGAGTTAAAATTAAACAGCATTTTTTAATTACCTTCAAAATCTTTGCTAAAGCTTTGTGTGACAAACTTACCATCAGTAAACAAGTGAAGAATAAATTGAAATAATGACAGTAAAGCAGTAAAATGGTATAACGGTGAGTAAAAATTAAACAGCATTACAAATTACCTTCAACAGCATGCAGCAAAATAAGAGAGTGTTCCAAATTACTTTGCTATTGCTTTGTCTTACAAACTTGCCATCATTATCACTCCAAAGCTGTAGCCTAGTCTTAAACTTGTGAGTCTTAAAACTTTAATCCTTCTAGAGTCTGTGTCTCCTCTTCTCTGTCCTCTCTCATTCTGGTGTAGCATAGGCTGTGGGGTGAATTGAGGAATGTGCTCCACCCCCCCGCACCTCCCTCTGTTTTCTCAACGAGTCGTGTTGGGGAGTCGTGGAACACCTCCCTCTGTTTTCTCAACGAGTCGTGTTGGGGAGTCCTGGAACACCTCCCTCTGTTTTCTCAATGATGCGTGTTGTGTGTTTAGCTGCCATCCTCAGGTAATCTTGTAGACCAGTTATTAACTTTGGTTATCTATAACCCAGACTCCGGATGTTAAAAAAACGGTCTGGTTTTAGCAGACAGAGTTCGTGAGTTCGTTTTCGAAACAGGAAGCTATTTTTATCAGCCGGAGCCAAGAGTTTAAATAATAATCTGGTTGTACCAGAAGTAAGGGCCCCAACCCCACATGCAGAGCAGCACTCGTGTGTTTGTTTGTTTCTTTTTTTTTTTTTTTCTTACTTCTATAAGTACCCTACCAGAAATCCTGAGGTCTTCACACTAGTGACCTGAAACCAGAGCGATGACCCATCAAAGAGAACACGGTACGCATTCAGCCTTTCCTCCGTAACTTAAGAAATAGCAAAAATCGACACTTTGTATTTTCATTCCTGCGTGTTTTCAATTAACAGTTTTTGACTTGATCGACAATGGGCTTCATTCAACCGAATATCAACTTGAAGGTAAGAGGGCCTTCTATGTACTAGAGTGAAATAGAAATGTTCTAAATTTTAAAGTGTACTATCCTGATGTGTATTTTGTATATTGTTTTTACAGATTTGTACTCAGGCGAGGAAATAGGTTCTACAAGGGAGAATGGCATTCCATCAGAGCAGGTTGTAGATCTCACAGGAGAAGTCGGTAAGTAAGGTTACCTTAACTTTTAATCAGTGTGTAGGTTTTATTTATTTATTTACAAACTTTTACGCAGATGTGGTAACAGTACTCTTTTCTTTCATTACACCCGCAGATGGTGCGAGCGATTGTGAACGGTACTTTATGCAGGGTCTCTCCCCTACCATTTACGAGGAGAACGGTCCGGTTCCGGAATCGGATCAGCCCTCGGCTTCGGTACCGCAAGCGTACATAACACCGGGGTCCCCGGAACACGATGAGCCGGAATCACCCGTCGATGATGTAGACGCTCCAGTCAGGCCGCAGATGGGAGGTCACGTAACGGATCACCGGTAGAAGCGCGTGGACTGACAGCGGAGGAAATCATTCATCCGGACATCAACATTATCAGAATGAGTCAAACTTTCAAAATGGTATAACTGAAAATAGTGTAATTGAAAACGAGACCTCCTCCAGTCAGTTCTTAGATCCGTTACACGCTATAAATCAAGCTCTCGTTGATCTGGAACGCTTAGAAAATGAAATACCAACTGCTTTATTAGATGAAATCAACCAAATGAATGAACCCTTTCACCAAAACAACATCCCCTCTTTACCCGAACCCGAGCATATTCCTGTCTTAAACTCATCTGTGTCTCCAGACCTGTTGATTCAAATACAAAATGCTCTCTCCGAGCTTGAAAATAATGCAATCCCTGCCTTAAACCCCTCTACATCCTCGACCTACCAGACCCCCATTAACTCCCCCCTCATGGAGCAGGTAGCCAACACTCCTCCCTTGCAACAGCAAGGGGGCAGCGTGTCTCAAAATAATGACCCTGTGGCACCTCAAGCAAGAGTCATATCACGACATAGATTCTGTAATTATGAAATACGTCAGGTGTTGCGCTTTCCTTCTCCAACCAATGCAGAGGGTGTAGTGGATTATGCTCAGTTTTACAATGGTACACTGGAGCAGGTAGATGCGATTTTACAACAAGCCTTGTCACACAGGAGACCCCAAGATGTGGTGCAGTTGGAGCTAAGAGGTGAAAATCTCCGTAATAATGTATCAGTTATCTTACAGGATGGTGATGTTGACAATTTAGCGGGTTTTGAAAGACTTTTGCTTCGCATAGTACAATCCAATTGGACCATTATGACAGATGGTGATCTAGAACTGGTTCTCCAAGTGATCACCTGCCCTACAGGCGCGGGTAAAAGAGCAATGGTGGATAAAATGTTACAATGCGAAATCTTAAAAAAAAAACAACGCTTTCTGTACATTGTAGAAAAGGAGGGGAATCAGTTGTGTTTCGCCGTCTGTCTGGCTCATCTTCTACATCCCCTCCTCAACGATAGACAGGCTCTTGAATGCGGCAGAGAGATTCAAAACAAAGTGGGAATGGATGATCAGACACCTGTAGCCTTAAGCGACATCACGCGATTTGAACGTGCTTTGGACTGCAAAATTGTAGTGTTTTATAGAGGAGACGACGATAGGGCCCTCTGTAAATTCATGACCAAAAGCCCAAGACAGAGTAAAACCCTATTTTTGTTTCTCTTTCAGAACCACTACTATGGTATAAAAAATCTAAAGGCCTTTCTGGGTTCCCCATATCTGTGTGAGTACTGTTACACAGGGTACAACGGTGTGCTGAGTCACCGATGCCCTGCTCATTGTTCCGTTTGCTTTGACCCTACCTGTAATCAGAAGGGATTCCAGCCTATTGTGTGTAAAGAGTGTAACAGGACATGTCGTTTATTTTTTCCTGTTTTGCCATATAGAACTGCAGCTGGTAAACTTGTCTTCACACTCTGCCGAACGTGCGCTGAACTTAATTTTCAGGAGGGTCCATGTCAACACAGTGATGAGGACAGAGCGATGACAGGGGTCTGGGTCACTCCTGAATTTAACAAGGCCGTGGAGATGGGGTATCGGGTAGCTGAGATCACAGAGGTATGGCAATTTGATAGACAGAGCGACTCGATTTTTGTTCAGTACACGCACACTTTTCTGAAGGGTAAACAGGAAGCTTCAGGTTACCCCCCTGAAGCCAAAGATCAGGCAGCCCGAGAAAAGTACATCAAAGACTATCAGACCAATCAGGGTGTTTTGCTGGATGCGTCTAAAATTCATCCGAATCCTGCAAAAAGACAAGTCTCCAAATTATGTCTCAACACATTCTGGTTGAAATTTGCACAACGCTCGAATCAGACACAGACTAAACTAATCACTGACCCTGAAGAGTTTTTTAACTTTATGTTTTCTGGAAAATATAAAGTTAAATACTTTTCCTTTGTCAACGACAAAACAGCGTTGTTGCAGTGGAGTTATGGTGAGCAATGTATTGCCCCTCCAAACAAGGTAGACAACGTCTTTATAGCTGCTTTCACCACAGCTTATGGGCGTCTAAAGTTGTACAGTTATTTGGAGCAGCTGCAGGAGAGGGTCTTGTATTATGATACAGACAGTATTATCTATGTCACAAAAGAGGGGGAGAGACGGCTTGACCTGGGTAATTACATGGGAGATTTGACTGATGAGTTAGATGGTGATAGCATAAAAGAATTCGCGGCCGCGGGCCCTAAAAGTTATGCGTACCAGACTCGTAACAACAAAGTAGTACTTCGTGTAAAGGGTATCACTCAAACGCATGATTGTTGTGAACAAGTTAACTTTAACAGTGTCAAACAGTTGGTGGAGAATTATGTGTTAAACTCTGATGATGGGGGTGTAATTGAAACACCTCAGCACAATATTGTACGAGATAAAAGGGGGTTTTTCCTTAGAAACTCATCATTCCAGAAAAAGTTTAGAGTGGTGTATGACAAGAGACGGTTACTGAGCCAAGGTCAAACCCTGCCTTTTGGCTATTGAAGAAAAAAATATATATATTATTTTCATCCAATGAAATTGAGTTTGACCCTAGACTAAGAACACCTTTCTCCTGTCAAATTGTGGGTCCGGTAAAACTTATTTTGTAAAGTCTGTGTTGGAATCCTGTAATCATGTCATCGACAACATGCCTAGTAATATTGTTTGGATTTTTACTTCTTATCAACCGATGTACACTGAACTGCAGCAGAAGAATAAAAAGATCAAATTTGTTGAGGGATTGCCTGATTCTTTTGACGATGAAATTCTATTCCCACCTGATCAAGATCATCTTATAATTTTGGATGATGTCATTTTCCAGGCCTCTGATCACCCTGAAGTTGTGAAAATTTTCACACAGTACAGGCACCACAAAAAAATGAGTGTCATCATGTTGACTCAAAATGTATTTCACCGTGGAAAGCACAGTAGGACAATTAGTTTAAATAGTAACTATTTGGTTTTGTTTAAAAACCCTCGAGATAGATTACAGATGAGTATATTAGCTCAACAAATATTTCCTGGACGAAAAGCCTTTTTCTTAGAAAGTTTTGAAGATGCTACCAAAGATCCTCACGGGTATTTAATCTTGGACCTCACACCTAGTTGCCCAGAAACTTACAGACTAAGATCAGGAGTACTACCCCACCAGTGGCCCGTTGTCTATCTTCCCAAATCAAAGTCCTGATCCAACATGTCAGCACGTTTAAAAAGGAATGCGCCTTTACTGAGGGCTTTATGTCACGCCACGCCTCAAAAGCGTAAAGATATTCTCAACAATTGCTCATCGGACTTTCTTCAGTCTTTGTGTGAACTCTCTTTGAATCTTTTAAAAGGAAACATTCCTATGACCTCAGCTCAATATAACAAACTCAAAAAACAAAAGAAAATTATAAGGTTGCTGGCTAATAAAAAAACAAGTCTTAAAACCAAACATAAGGCTCTGACAAAACAGTCTGGAGGCTTTCTGTTACCTCTTCTTTCAACAATCCTTCCTGTCATTTTGGGAGGGTTAATTAATAGATAAATCATGAGTCAGAAAATGTTTTTGGTGACGCCTCAGCAACTAAACCGGCTGAATCATTCTGTACCATCTGCATCCAACGCTGAAATAATGAGACATACGGTAGAAAATGATTTGGATGAAAAAATGAGGGCAATACTAAACGAGGATGGTATGAACGCTTATGAAAAAATTAAGAAATACAATGCCCTGCTGCAAAGATACCTAGCTCTGGTCAAACAAGGAGAGAAGGAAGAACGCCACATTACTCTGACAGTAGCTAAAGATTCTGAGCACTGAAGCAGCGCGTAGAAGGAGGAGAAGAAGAAGAAGAAGAAGACAAGAAACTGGATGAAACAGCAAGGGAGGTTGTACAAAACTTGCCGGCTCGCTATCGTAACAATGCACAGTACATCATAAAGAAATTAACCAAGAGCCGAGGTGGGTGGACTCCCAGGGGAGAGTTTGTGTATAACGGAGATGTTGTGAAAGGTTCACACCTGCTTGACTTGTTTAAAAGTCTGACCGTCTCCCTTAAAAAATCCCAGCCTCCTAAGGGATGGACAGGTTTTTTGAATACTTTGTCAGAACTCAACATCCCTTTATCAATGATGAGCAACCCTCAAGCTCGAGAGCAATATAGGCAACTTCAAACGGTAGGACCCCGGGAAGATGAGGAGGAGGTGATGTCCCTGCCGATAAAGAGGGGAAGAAGGAAAAAGCAGACACCCCGTGCCCCTCGCAGGGATGGAGAGGATGATGAGACACAGCCCTTACTATTTAAGAAGGGAAGAAAACACAGACGAGCATCTTTAACCCCCCAGTGGGAAGAGGTGGACGCCTCGCCACCCTCAAGAAGAGAAAAAAGAAAGAAACTCACCCCCCTTGCTCCACGATGGCTTAATTTTAACCCATAATAAAACAATTCAAGCTAAAGTTATTTGTCTCAAGATTCATCTTTATTTATAACTTATAACAGTCTTTGAACATTTGTAAAGAACAAACTGTGTGGTGAAAAGATGCGGCTCTTTGTTGCCTCATACAACGTTGATATTTTTTCACAAAATTGGATACCATAGAATCATTTCTTGTAAAATCATCATGATACAAAGACAGCACATTCTCAAAAGATAGACCGCAGGCTCGATGACACAAATAGAACACACAATGCTGACCACATGTGGTAGACAGGTATGCTGAAACTGATGTGTATGATATGAAATGGTTTCACAGCGTTTTTTAAAAATTCCAAGATACTTTTGGGGTAATGTGAAAACTCTGGTGAGAATCCAAAAGAATCAAAAAAGCTAGCTTTCTGGCCTTCCTCAAGAGTGAGCGCCAGCCAGTGCTCCCCAGGCT